GCCTATAAATGGAGATATATGTCTGATACATCACCAAAAAAAAATCATATTAATCGAGCATGAATCTTGATCAAAATTCAAATTAGAAATTTCCAATATTAAATTCAATCTCTGATTTTAGAAAACTTATTATCAAATTAAACATCTCAGTAAGATGAGCTCAACAATACTAAAATTGATCTAATCTGAGTCTAAATGAGCTTAAAGCATATTTGGAAGTCTCAAAGCATTAATTGGATGATAAAATGACCTCCAAATTAGTCATGCTTGTAGTCAAATCAAGCGGCTCGACGAGAAAAATCCAACGAGCCTAAGATCACTAAATTTTGACATCATTAAGGCACTTAAATACTCGACAAATGCTTCATGATCGAGGGAATCGATATGAGTCGTCGGATGGAACACTCCAACTTCACCTTAGATTTTCTCCATATTTATTAAGCATGTCACTCTCAAAAAATTATAAATAGATCATCATTTTTCACATGAGGTAGGGGGAAGAAGAGAAGAGCTCTGATGCTTGAAGAATCCTGAAGCTCCATCCATATAATAGGTCCACCAACGAATCCGTGACATCAGGCCGCCATTGTAGGACCTTTACCCGATCATCATCATTGGACCTCCATTTAGCAGCCATTGTCTGACCTTCCTCTTACCATTATCGCACGTCGACTATGGACCCTTCAACAATCGTCGTCTGACTACAATCATGTAATAACCTATATTTTTTTCCATACAAATAAATTTTTTTATGAGTCATTTTTAGTGAAAATTGAAATCGTCTTTGCCATAGCATTTATATTATAGTATTTTAATCACTTGCATTTTTTTATAATTTTTTAGCACTGATGCATATCCTTAAGAACTTGACATTTGTCGATACAAGTTGTGATTTTGGGATCAATAAGTGTTCGTTTTGCAAACCTATTTCATCAATATTTTCTAAATAAAATGATTTTAATTAGTATATTTTTAATAATTTTTAAAGCCCAAAAAAAATTATATAAATTTTTATATTGAAAATTAATTAAATTATATTATTATATTAAAATATCTTAAAATATCTTAAAGCATTATTAAAACTTTTTAAATTCATTTTATTTTCTCCAAACGGCATAACATAAAAGGCTTTGGGAAAAATGTGGGAAAAAGAGATGAGAGAGAAAATTTAAGTTAGATTTTAGAGATAGCGGTGCATTTTTTGTCTGACGACTCTATTAGTAAATTTGCTCGTCTCGTTGTAATGAACCGTTACCCTATTTTAGTTTCTAATAATTTTATGTTTTTGATATTTTCTGATTAAATTTGTGTTTTCATTAAAAAAAATTTAGATAAATTTGTATTAGTAAAACTTTCACCTCATAACTTTTTGTATGTGATAAATCTCGTCAACATAAACACTTTAACTATAACATTTGAATTTTTACTGGTTAAATTGAAATATATTATTTTTTTGAAATAAATGCATAGTACACAAATTTGATATATTTTTCTGTATTTATTCATTTCTGCATTTCGTACATGATATTGACTTACATTGCATAGAGAAAATATTATATTTGAATGTACGCAAGAATGGCTGATTGTTAACACTATAATAAATACGGGTTAGCTCTGAAAATATAATATCATGCATAGGAGGGTGGACTGACGGGCTTTCCTTTAAATAGAAGGTTGATGATGTAATCCTAGTTATAGCTTGTAACTGCTTCTCTGAATTATATCGATAGGAAGTGGGTGATGACTCTTAAATGATTATTGAGAGCCACATGTGAAAATTGACATATTGAGAGCTGATGTACAAAAGAAAACACCATATTAAAACTGAATGGCATGCCTTATTTTTCATAATTAAAGTCATGATGATATTTGTCTGATAGCATATTAAACTGATTGACATATTGATATATCATATTGGCATTAATATTAATATAACACAGCATAGCATATTGACATATTTTATTAGGTGATGTTATTCTTTATCGTATGTCTTATAGTTTGATATATCTCTTTTGATTTCACTAATCATATTGATTTTATTATTGATTTCTGATATTTTTATTGTTCATATTAAATGATGATAGATACTGATTAGAACTGAACATACATATTGATTCTTTTGCGTTGCATTGAAAGTAATGATATATTTTTATTTTCCTATTGAGATTTTTAGCTCATTATGTGATTTTCAATTGTTTCAGGTCAGTGAAGGGGTCAGGACTAATTGGAGTGAGGTTGACAGAGATTCTCAAGTTTTCTTTAACTTTTGTTATGTATTTTCTTTTTATTATTTTGTAGTCAGGAGGTTATGATAGATTAGTGATTGAACAGATTTCCTAACTATTATATATTAGTTTTGGGAGAATGAATATAGTGTAATATTTTGATGTATGAAATTATTAGTTACTTTTGCTGGTTATTATTTATATTAATGATTTATAGAAGCTCTGGTATATTTTTAAAAAGATAAAATAGATATTTTTACAAATTTGATTATGGGGCTTTACAAGTCCTTCTAACAATCGTCGCCCACAGACTACATTCCCTCAGACCATCGTCACCCGGCTACGATCCTTCCGACCACCATAACACACCAACTATGGTCCCTCCACCATCTTCACCCGACTACAGTCCCTCCAATCATCTTCACCCAACTACGGTCCTTTAGAATATCATCACCTATAACGCCTTAGAATTAAATTTGAAAGAATTGTCTATTTATCATTTTAAGAATATACTAGATCTTCTATAAATCATAAATATAAACAATAACCTATAAAAGTAACTAAAATCATATACATCAATATATTTTACTATTTATTTCACTCAAAATATCATTTACACTAGTTAGGAAATCACTACAATCACTAATCTATCACAAGCTATTAACTATAAAGAATAACATAAAATACATAATAAAATCTTAAAAAAATATATAAGGATCTCTATCAACCTCACTCTAACTTGTCTTGACCCATTACTTGACCTAAAATCATTAAAAATCTATATAATGAGCTCAAAAAGTCTAACAGTAATAAAAAACTCATTAAGCTTTCAATGCAATGATTAAAGAATAAATATGACATACTCAGTCTAATATAATCAATAATAGTCAATGTAGTTAATGACTAAATATTATCAATAAAACTCAAAATGATCAATAATAAAAGTAAGAAATCATTACAATGAATCTAAAAATCAATAATTAGTATTAAATTCAAAAAAATTGGTAAAACAACGATGCAAAAATCTTTCAAAAATAAATAAAGAAATCTATTTTATATATTCATATGCATAATTTATTTATGTATTATCAATTCATTCAATATTGTCAATAATATTAATGCGTATGTCAATATCATCAGTGCTATCAATGTATGATTTAATAAGGTAGGACATCGAGCTTTAATGTGGTATTTTCAACATCTTTTACCCCAACTGATTCTCAACTAGTCATGAGTCATATCTATTCTCACTTATCCAATTAATGAATTTTTATATTCAATTAACCAATTATCATTACATGCAGCTTAATTAAATCAAGAAAGAGTTATCACTATCTGCCTGTCGGCGTAATCAGTTATCTATTATAGGCTACAACCAAGATAACACCACAAATCATATTTGAAGGAAAGCCCGTTGGCCCATCCTCTAGCGTAGAGTATTATGTTTTAACAGTCAACCCATTTTATAGTATTAATAACCAGCATTTCTTACTTATGCAAATGCTATAATCAAAATGCAGTAGGAAATAATCAATTTTGTACAATATAAAAAAAAAAAATCTATATAATAATTAAAATTATTGAAAACTAAAATGAGATTTGAATTACGTATAACAAACAGAAAAAAAAAATCTATGAATAAAATTGACGGATGAAAAAGCTCCGAACAACCATCTCTATCTTCCATCTTTCTTCTTCGACAAGGCACAATGCTGAAATTCAAATTTTTAATTTAAAAAATCAATTTTCTCCATAATCCTATAAAAGAGAGAAGATTCTCCGCCTCGTCCAGAGCAAAAGGAGAAAGCACTAGCAAAAATCCCAAAGAGACAACTTAGGGAGTAGAAGTAGGTCAGTTGGCTAAATCACTATAAATCAATTTACTCATTCTTACATTTATCTTTTTATTTCTTGCACTTTAATGTTATGGTTATATGCTAAGTACTGATATCCTTATTCGAATTCATATTTTAAAATTAAAAAAGTTAGCTTGTGATAGTTTGTTATTTTTTTATCTTATTTAGAAGCAATAATATATATTCTATCATTTTGGTGCTTTATTTTTAAAAAGCATAAAAAAAATCATCCCAAACAAAACCTTAATCAAAAGTTATAAATTTCTATGCAAAAGGTTGAGTGAGAACCCTCAAACCTCCAAAACTTCTTTTCTTTTGAACTTTGAAGGCCTATTAGAGTTCCTCCATTGATTTTCATTAGAATATTTTTTTGATGTTTGGCTAACCCAAGTAAACTTTCAAAAGAAATATCAGGGTTTAAACTTTAAATGTTATATATCCTACAATAGGCTAAGGCTTTGTTTGGGACAGCTTTCTTACTACTTTTTAAAACAATTTTTTAGTATAAAAATTCCTTAAATTAAATATTTTTATACAAAAATATTGCTTTAGAAAGCATTAAGAAAATCATCTCAAATGAAACCTAGAGGTTTACAAAGAATGTCATATCAATTTAACAACAAAACTTTCAATAATGACCAACCCCTTAGATGATTCCTGTGATTGCATGAGCATATATGCTAAGCAATGGAGCAGCTCATATTTCTATAGAGTATGATGATTTTATTTCATATATGGATCTCCAACACAACACTAACACATCTGTATCAAATGGAGCAGTAAATCCAATATAACAAAGAGAAAAGAGTATCATCAGTTCAGAACGCTTGGATTTCAGTGTTTTCCATGTATAAAAAATAATCAAATGATAAACCAAACTATAAAGAAAATAATTAGAAATCATTAGAAATCCAAAATTAGATTAAGGCTTCGTTTGGGACAGTTTTTTTTATTGTTTCTTAAAACTGCTTTCTAGTAAAAAAAAATGTACTAGAAAGCTGTTTTAAAAAACAGTAAAAAAGTCGTCCCAAAGAAATCTAAATCGTTAACAATAAACAAACTATCATTGTGACTAAATCCTAACTTGGCTTGTGTAATTATATACAGAAGACAACTAAGTACATCTAAGTGAAGCTCCTAATTCTGTCAGCATCCCTTAACAGCTTCATCCTGAAAATAATAATAATAATTGACTGGATAATCTTAAAGTTTTAAGAACTTCATGGAGGAATTTCCAGCTATATATTATGTACCTGAATATCATAATTCCAGAGGGTGAGATTGTCTTGCAAAGATTGCAATTGGAGTCTCGCATGGCTATAAGAATCCTGAGCTAGCTTATCCAAGTCTCCAATAGCTTCCTTAAATGCCTGTAGCCATTCAAGCAAAATAAAAAAAAAAATAATTACATAATACTTAATGAGATTTGTTTATGTGAATTAATCAAATAAATCGCACTGAATAACTTTCATTAAGGTGAAAGGAAACATTAAAAATCTAAATCAGAGAGGGTTATATTTATTTTTTATTTTTTTAACTACAGTAATAGTATCATAATTCACTCCATATGTACAAATTAAGAACACATTATTATTAGCAACCCTAAAAATAACCATCAGTAACCAATTCATGCTATATTTTGATTTTCACTCTACCACGACCTTGCCTCTTCAGTGGGGCAAAGCAACTGTGAGCCTAATGCCGGTGGGTGGTCTTGTTAGGTTTCACAGATGCATTAGTTACACTGCCAAACGCTCTCTTTGAAGTGGCAGCAGATAGATACCCCCATTCCCAAAAAAATGATATATTTGATTCGGATTTATTAATCCTCATTGTCAACTCATTTCTTTACCATGAAAGGTTTTATCTATTAAAAAATAACCATAGAAATAGTAACATAAATCATTCCATATATACAAATCAAGAAAGAACATATCATAAACAACACTAACGACACCATCACTAGCCAAGTCCAGATTATTGAGTATGGCTTTATTAATCCTCATTCTCAATTCATTTCTTTCAATGTTATATGATGTATTAAATCAACTTTTAGAAAATCTTTTTCAGAGTTTTTATCTATGTAACTATGTTATAGTTATTTTGTATCTATCTCTTTTCCTATCCAATCCATCAGCAATAATTCTATCTACTCTTTTTATTGGACATTTTCTACCCTTTCTTATATATGCCTACATTATCCAAATCTATTTTTCACTATAATGTCTTCATTAGTTGCTACTTGCTACTACAATAAACATATCATATAATAATTTGTCACTCGATTCTTTTTTATTTTTTTCATGCATTTCAAAATTCTCATTGTATGCCAAAAAAAGAAGCGTATGAAGATTCTAGCAAGATTTTATGCACTAAGAATAGACAACATAGCATAATATAATTTTTTCCAACGCATCAAGAATGATGCATATATGGGCATACAAAGAAGCATGCGAGCATTCCAAATATCACGAGCTGTTTCAATGAAATGCTCATAAGGTGGAGGGATTTGAGATTGGGAATGAGAGAGAGAGAAGAAAAGAGGAGAGAGAGAAATGGTAAGAGGGAACAAAAAGTTGTGGCTAGTAAGGAGAACGGGACAGTCATGCGGTTGAGACATGTGAGAGGCAGAATTGAGGAAAAGGGAAACATCATGCAGATAAAAGATGGATTTTATGAATAATATTTTTCAATAATAGGAGGATTGCATAGTGCTCTATTATTGTTGCAAGTGACACCTCAAGACAAGGGTGATGAGGGCATCAGCGGGAGATTTTAGCGTGTTTATCAGATGAGACACCGGAGATCGACGGCCACAATCAGGAGCCTCTACTTTTTGATGTATTTTATGTATTATTTATTTTATATTTCAATTTTTCCTATTTTATCCCTGTGGGTAGTTAGTTTGAGTTGTAGCCCTTAGGGCATCTCAGTCTTTTCTTTTCTTTTCTCTTTTGAGGCCTATATATGAGGTCCTTAGTCTTGTATTAGGGGAATGCTTGATTAATAAAATATTTATGATTCTCTTGAGAGCATGTGAGTTCTTGAGTGGTGAAGTCCCAAGGTGTGGGCAAAGCAACACCCACCAGTCATCGGAAGTGTCCCCGGCTTGTGGTTCGACTCCGTCCCTTGCTTCCAACGGCCGACCATCTCTCAACCTGACCTCAAACCCCGGCCACCCTTTCTTCCCCATCAAACCACAGGCTCCAACCCAGCCTTCCTCCTCCTACCCGTCAACCCCCACTCCTCTCCCACCCACAGCCGCAAGCCTAGCCCACAACCCGCCCCTCTCTTCCAATCCCACTCATAGCCGCCGGCCACACTTCATTGCCCCTCTTAATGATGATTTCAATCATCATTAGTATTTGCCTAAATTAGCCTAAATGATTTGTGAAAGGTTTTAATTCAATTTGAAATTCAAATTTGAATTCCAAATACCTTCCTAAATTAACCAAGCTAAATTAGGAAAGTTCCTAAAATGAAGTCTAATTTAATTTTAAATTAGATTTGATTTCTTTATCCTTTTCCTAAAGTGGATTAAGGAATTAGGAAACTTTAAATTCCCTCTCAATTCCCCCTCTTTCACCCATATATGCCGCCGGCCCCTTAACCTCTCCCCCTCTCATTCTACTCCCATTATTCCTCCTTTGAAATTGAGATTCAAATTTCAAAATTCAAACCCTCTTTCCTATTTAACTAAATTTGAAATTAATTTCAGAATTTATTTGCTTAGCCACATCCCAAGCCCTAAACCTAACCTTGCAAAACCGCCCCTCCCCTCTCTTGGCCGCCCCTCTCTCACTCATCCTCCCCTTGGATTTTCTTCTCTCATGAGGTATGTTCCAAGAGAAGAAGAAGAAGACCATCATCCCTACCAACTTTCCTACTAGTGCATGGTTGATCCTGAAGTAGAGCACAGCTTCGCATACGATTCTCAAGGGCAGATAGATATTCTTCAATCATTGTTCTTCGACCCTGACTGGGAGATAGAAGACACTGCCGACGATTACGTCGACCGTATCCTATTTCACTTAGCTGAGACTATCGACGAACAACTATCCTCCAGACAGTGGCAAATTGTCGGTCATCCACTCACACCTCCTCCGATGACCTTTTTGTGGATCAAGGCATTTGGCATCCTATCTCTTTTAGTGGCATCATTCGGGTTGCTGAAATCCTCTTTAAAGTTTACATCATTTAAGTATATGTTTATGTTTGACTTTATTTTAAGCTCTAGTGATTCTATTGTGTAGCCGATTGCCATAACAAAATTGATATCATTAAATTCTCTAAATCCCATTTGATGAAACATTAATTTATTGTTACTTTGCTTAATTCAAGTTTTTCTTTATAAATTTCTTACGCAATTCCTACTTTGTTTCACATCAGAGGGCATGAGACAACCTGATTTTTCTTATCGAGTCAAAAAATATGCACTTGTAAACACTGTATGTTCCTCATGCCATGTTGACAGCACACTTGAAAAGAGAAGGGAGAAGAATTTAGAGAGAGCATGCATGTGTGAGAGGGAAAAGGGAATGACGTGGAGGGGGAGCAAAGGTTTATATATATATATATATATATATATATATGTTTCTATGATAGGCTTATCTCTTTGAATTTAATTTGATGCAATAGTACAGTACATATCTGGCCTCTCTGTAACCCTTTTCTTTTTCTTTAAATAGTCGAGAAGAGTTTTAATGAGTATGATCCAAGCCAAATTTTAAAAGGTAAATTGGGTTTTGAATAAGACATTAACCAGAGATTTCACCCTCATTTTGCGAGGACTTTATGACCTGAGTTCAAATTTCCTAGAGGCGTGAGCCTCTATAGTTATTTACCCCTACCGATAACGAGATAAAACTTTCGATTAAGTCTAGTCGTCAAACATATACATAATACATGGCGTATACTAGCAGCAGAGTTGAGGTATTTGATAATTTAATATTTAAAATTGAAAAGTTACAAACTTGCACTTAAAGTGAATGATGGGGAGAGTGATGATAGACCCGATCAAGATCCCATAGTTCTGTCGTCCCAAGTCATCATGGTCCCTAGTCTACTTAGTTAGAGGATGTAGTCGATGCAACCTGACAAAAGAATCCTTGTTGGTAGCCATGGGTTACTTTGTCCAAGGGTACCATGTAGAACTAGAGTGAATATTTGCCCAAGGGGACAAATTTGAATCCATCTTAGCTAACAGAGAACTTTTGATTACATTCGATGGCATGGGCAATATTACAGCCTTTTCCATATAAGTTCGACATTCCAGACACAACGGAGAAATCCGTTTTGCAAACTGACACTGTTTCGGCAATATCGCGCAATGTTTCGTCCGTTGTCTATTAATTTCAATCGCCTTCACCCAATTCAACTGTGAGGGGTCCCCCTTAGGTAAATTTGATGCTTTGATCGCATCGGCGTAATCCGTTTAACAATCAGATGTCATTTGGGTAATTTTTGCAAGCATCACGTTTGCCAACAATCATGCTCGTCATCATTTTCGATCGAGTTATGCACAAATGCCTCTTCCTTAGCAAATATGGTGCCTTGAGCACATCAGTGTGATCTATTTCACGATCAGATAAAATTTTGAGCCATTTTGATGGCGATAAAGGTGTCATGATGCTCTGATAAGAAACACATATGACAATCACTTTCCTTGAAGCGCTCAATTGATCGTGAAACATGTATAGAGATCAACAACATACCCTAATAGAGGAAGACTATAAACACTTCAAGTTAAGCAAAGAGCTTTGTAGGTCCACAAACAATTGTAGTTGAACAGATAACCTATTAAAATTTGGGACCTAACAAATATTATGGGAAAAGGGAAGGGGAGAGGGAAGGCTTATATATATTTATTTGTTTTTATGATAGGCTTAAAAAGGAAAAAGGGAAGGGAGGGGAGAGGAGAGGAAAGGTTTATATAATTTTTTTTGTTTTTATGATAGGCTTACCTATTTAAATTTAATTTGATGCAAGAGTTGGCAATGCATAACCTAATAGAAGAATACTATAAACACTTCTAGTCAAGCAAAGAGCTTTGTAAGTCCACAAACAATTGTAGCTGGACAAACAACCTATTAAAATTTGGGACCAAACAAATATCATGGGAAAAGACCAACAAATTGGCATATCAATTGCCCTCTATTCATAGAGTACATTGAATGTACTAAAATGACTATAATAGAGTTTCTGTTATTCATATTAACAGCTACACTAGGAGGAATGTTTTTATGTGGGGCTAACGATTTAATAACTATCTCTGTAACGCCAGAATGTTTCAGTTTATACTCCTACCTATTATCTGGATATACCAAGCGAGATGTACGATCTAATAAGGCTACTACGAAATATTTCAACA